ATATGAAGATTGTTACTTAAATTATTTTCAATGGTCTGTAAGGGTTAATATATAAATGAGTCACATTATAATAAATAAAGATATATATATATACTTCAAAAAAATAAATTTTTTTTAAGTATTAGTATTGCGGTGATAATCACCGGTGCGGTGACCATCACCTGCAGTGACCATCACACCAGTGAGAAATAGCAATCCCCATTTTTATTTTCCAACTTGATTCAATTTTTTAATAAATATTTTATTATTTTATAGTCAACAACTTATTTAATCAACAAAGCAAAAAAATATAATCATATTAATGGACTGGTAGAATTTCTTTTGATAAAAAACCTAAATTTAAAAGAATGGAAATGTCAGCAGAAAAAGAAAGACAATTTGAAACATTTTTTGCTGATAGAGAAAATGCTGCCATGAAGTTGATGCCAAAACAAACATGCCAATCCTTTATTTAAAAGATCAAAAAAAAATATTATGGGAAAAATTCAAATTAAAATATTCTAATGGCATGAAACAAACTTCTTTTATGGCTCAATTAGCTGATGGAAGATTTAAATATAGAGAAGACCTTGGGGGTTTATGTTCTATATGCAATGAATATGGACATTAAGTTTTTGAAGATTTGGTTATTTTAATTAAATCAAAAATTTTAAATCAAAAAATTCAGGTAGGTTTTATAAGGATCATAGTTTTGTACAATTCATAATTTTATTATTAATAATTTATTAGCTACGTAGGTTTACATGAGATTTATTTTCCTGATGATTGTATAGATTGCAATAGATTATTTCAACTATTTAATAATCTTTATTTTGAAATTTCCAGTGAAATCATAATATATTAAAAGAGAAGGAAGAATATTTTTATTTTTATTTAGCCCATCAAACCAGGAAAACCTATTTAAATGCACAATTAAAGGCTAATTTATTAGAATTAGATGAGCAAGGTGCAATTATAATTGCTGATTACAAATGAGAATTTTACCAAAATCAGCAAGAGAAACAAAAGAACAATTTTTTGGTAAATTTGGTAAACATGGATGGACCTTACATACCATTTTAATTTATACAAAGTCAACTGATGATAATCTATTAAAATTAACAGCCTATGATCATTGGTCTACAGATACAAAACAAGATGCCTGGTTTACTGCATCTTGCTTTGATGTAGTTTTTGAAACTATAGATCCTAAACCCAAATGGATTAAAATCATTTCTGACAATGGGCCACATTATCATTGTTCTGAGCTAATGACAATTGTATTAAAATGGAAAGAATGGTATGATATTGATATTAAAGGATGGATATTTTTGGAACCAGGTGAAGCAAAAACAACAATAGACTCTTATCATGCCCAGGTAAAATAATTTTAATAAATGAATATTAATTAACATGATTTTAATAAATATGGTTTTAATTTAGATTGCACATTCAATAAAAAAATATGTACGCATTGGGTATGATATACAAGAAGGAAAAGACATAGAAGATGCAATAAAAGATATTGGTGGAACTACTGTTTCTCATAGTGACACCATAGAAATGAATAGTATTTTGATGATGATTAACTTTATGTAACAATTTCAACTAGTTGAACCAATTGTTATCATTAGTTGAAAATTTTTTTTAATCCACAACCAAAAATATATTATAATTTACCTCATTAGTAATTTCTTTCATATTTGTTATACCATATTTATAGGATTTCAAGGCACAAATACTGCTATTATCCAATGTTGCCTTATAAACTTTTCCAGAACCACCTGAACCAATTTTTTGAATATTTTTAAACCTACTACCATATTCATAAAAATTAATGTGTTCTTTCTGAATTGCCTCATCAAGCCATCCTGACCAATTATCCTTAGATTTATCAATAGTTACTTTGTTTTCATTGATTATTCCATTGTTTGGCTCATCATTTGTTTCTTTGCTATCTTGACTAATTGGAGAAGATGATAATGATTTGGATAATTGTGGTGAAGGAAGTTCCTCAATTTTAAATTCATCATTATTACTATTATTCTTAGATTTATCAATCATTACTTTGTTTTCATTGATCATTCTATTGTTTGGCTCATCCTTTGTTTCTTTGCTTTCTTGACTAATTGGAGCAGATGATAATAATTTGGATAATTGTAGTGAAGAAATTTCCTGTAGTTCTTTAATTTTAAATCATCATTATTATTATTAGGTGTTGTGAAAGTTAATTTATAATATAATACTTACCAACTATGAAATAAAAAATAAAATTATTTAATTAGATGATGTTTTAATAAAGTTTATTTTGTGTTGTAAAAGTTAATTTATAATATAATACTTACCAACTAGTTATTATAATGAAATAAAAATAAAAATATTTAATTAGATGATGTTTTAATAAAATTTATTTTGTGTTGTAAAAGTATAATACTTACATGCTGATTATTATAAAGTAATAAAAAATCAAATTATTTAATTAGATGATGTTTTAATAAAAATTGTTTTATGTTATAATTTATAATAATACCTTTATATTCTTCTTCAATTTCATCAGTAATCTCAACAATTTTTTTTTTATCTAATATATCTAATAGTGATAATATTTAAACAATTTATCAATAATGAATCAATAATCAGTAATCTTAAGTAATTAATAATTTTTAATTTACCATCAAGCAAATTTCCAAAAACTCTACTAAGAGAGTTATTTAATGAAGACATGTTAAAGATATTACCTAAGTCAGTTCCAAAACTCTAATGATAAATAAATAAATAATGATATATTTAAAAGTTGTTGTGACAATGCTATGTAATAAATTTTGTTGATAGATTAAGTTCAATTTCAAATGTAGGTATTTGATAAAATTAGAAAATTTACCTCTTCACTATTAATCATTTCTAAATCTCTGGTGTTTTTGCTATAAAATCCTATTTCTGCAGGAGAACCAACCATTGCCCATATAATATGAGAAACATCATTTTGATTTTCATCAAACCTATAAAAACAAATAAAAAAAAATTTTTTTTTAATAATATGGTTATCATTAATATAAAAATAACATTATATATATTAGATACTTTTTAATGATTATTGAAAATCCATATTGATCAAAATATTTAAATTTAATGATAATATCAGAACATTTTTCAGAATTTTCATTAAAAATGGTTCCATAAATTTGATATTTATCACTTTTCAAAGGAGTTTTAAAAACAACTCTGTAATATTTTTTATTTTTATCTTCAATTTTAATTGAATCCATCATTAATGTTTGATCTTTGAAAAGAAGTTCAATTCCTTTTTGTAATGATTCTTCTAAAATTTTATATAATGGAATTAGATCAGCATAATAAATTACATCCCAAATTTTTGAATTTTCGGGCATTATTTTTATCCATTCAATTACTGAGTTTCTTTTTGTTGTATGTCCATTTATGTTAAAAAAAAATTTATTATCAAAATTAATCTTCCTATGAATTTCATCCCATTCTTTTAATATTTCATCAAGTTCTTCATTGTTATTTATGCTTAATGGATCTATTGGTTTTTCAATTGTTCTTTTTGTAAATAAATTTTCTAAAAATAAAATAATTTAAATCAATAATAATATATAAAAAATTGATAATTTAAAGATAAATGAATTATAATAATTATCATTATTACTATTTAAATTCAAATGTAATGATCTTGATAATTTTCCACCTAGTATGGTTTTTTTACATAATAAATGTCCATATTCATTAAATATAATTTCAAGTTCATGATAAGGATTTTCTGTATCTAAAGCCTCACGTACAGCTTTAATTAATTCATCTGATGGTACAAAATTTTCAAAAGTCAATTCAATTTGTTGACTACTAATCTCATAATGAACTGTTTGTTTAGATTCTAAATTCCATGAATCTTTTACTTTCAAATTAATAAAAGGAACTTCTTGGCTAAAGAACTTTATCATTTCATCATTAATAACTTTAACATTGCTTTTTAAAATATAAGAATGTAATGATGAATTTGTGATTGTCAAGCTGGTTTTTATAGAATCAGTTGGATTAATTTTATTAGTTTTGGGATTTGATGAAGAACTAAAAGGTTGGATAGGTTGAATATTTCCTTTTTTTACACCCCTTTCATCAATAACCAATCCATGTTGAAGTTTAAATTTCTTAATCCAAGATGGTAAATTTTCATCAGGTGAATTTAAATTATCAGGGTTTTGTTGTTTTTTTGAATTCATTCCACTTAATGGATAAAGACCTGAAAATTTTGTATTTTATATTGTGAGGTTGATTATTCAATTAATAGTAGGCCGACTCAATAGCCACGTTTTTGAAAAAAAGTATAATAAAAATGCTCAAAAATGTAATATCTTATTTTAAAATAAAGTAAGTTATTAAAACAATCTCAATATGATATTAAAATACAAAATGACATTTACAAATTTAGTATTTATTATTTATTATTATGAATTTAAAAAAAAATTTTCAAACATGGAAAACATTGTTATAAAAATTGACAACAAAGAATTCAATCAAAAGCTTAATGTCGACCTAAAATTATCAAAAGTTCATATATTTATCTTGGAAAATGAAGAAATTCGAAGTCATATTAATCACCCTAACAATACTTTAATCTTTCAATATAATGGTAATGATATTGATATAAATAAAGAAAACAAAGTTTTATCAAAGATTCTTGTTGGTAATGAATTATTTATTACAACATTCGAAAATAATGAGCCTACTGGTGTTTCATTTCGAATTGAAGAAAATGTGTATTTTGAGAAGTTGCCTTTAAATATGAAATTGGATGAAGTTAGATCATTTGTTTTAAATGAACGTTTAGCTGATGATAATTATTATAATTATTCATTCGAAAATTCAACTTATGGTGAAATAGGAGTAGATAAAGAATATAAATATACTTTGGAGGAAATAATTATAAAAAAAGAAAAAGATATTAATTTTATAAATTTAAGCAAAAAAAACAAACCTAATTGGTCAAAGTTAACTAAATCTTGTGGGTTTGGATTTAATATAACAGATGAGGGAACTAAAAAGGCTCCTAGAAAAGCAATTACAATTATAGATCCCAAATTTGAAGAATATGATAATCCAAAAAGGACTGAGCTCATTAATGAATGTAATAATATACAGGAAAATTTATATGAACGTAATATAGCTTTAGTCAGCAATGTATTCTTACCATGGCTATCATCTTGTATTGGTTTAAAAAGTTCAATTGAAGTTGAAAAGAAACTGGACACAGCTACTTCATATTCAATTGAAGCATCAGAATATGCATCAATTGAATTTACAAAATCAAATTATTATTTAAACCCTGAATTTGAAAAAGATGTTAAATCTGCAGTTGATCCAAAATTATCATTAAAAGAAAAACATAAGAAACTTAAGGAAATCATTGAAAATTATGGTCAATTTATATCTGAAAAAATCATTTTTGGTGGTAAAATGATAAAACAACGTACAAGTGAAGCAAATCAAGGTAAATCCCAACCTTTTAATATTATATTATATATTTATTTTTTAAAAAATTTAATTTAAAAAATAATTCAATTAAATTATTTGCTAGTTGGAGAATCATTTTCAAATACAAAAAGTGTTGAATCAAATATAAGTCACCCAGGAATTGTTGGTGCTGGTGTATCTGCAAGTAAAACAAAATTAGTAAATGATATTACAAGATCAAATAAAACTATATCATATCAACGTATAATAGGAGGAAATGGAGCTCTTTTAGATGATTGGTATGAATCTCTTCGCAATCCTGATAAGTGGGATATAATTGAATATAAAAATATTGTACCTATATTTGAAATATTACCAGATGATTTAAAAAACCAAGTATTAAAAATCTTTGGCCAAAAAATACTTGATGGTAGGTAAATTACATTACCTTTGCTTATTATTATCTTAAAATACTTATTTTGAATAATTATTTACTAATTTACAATATGGACAAATTGATATAAGCTAAAATTTGTGAAATTGTCTATGATACCAAAAAAAATAAAAATAAGGCTTGTGTTTATAAATTAGAGCATGATATTCCAGATATTGATAAATGTCAAATATTTTCAGCAATAATGGAAGTAGATGAAAATGGGAATAAAAGTGAAAATAAAAATTTATTTAATACTAGAATTGAATATATTGGGGAAAAAAGTCCTGTAATTGTAATTCACAAAATTAATGAAGATAAACCAAAAGGTAAACATATCTTAAAAATTAGTTATATAATTGTTGGATATAGTTTTAGATTTAAACCTGGGTTAGATATTAGATTTATTGGTGAAGAAAAGCAAATTAAACATTGTAATAATAGATTTATTGCAGAAATTGAAAGACCAACAAATGAAGTACCAGTAATTGGATCTTGTGTGATTAAATCATATCATAAACAAACCAATCCAGTGGATTCAAAAATTATTAGTTTACACTTTCATCCATCAGATAAAAAAGTCTGTATTCACACTTATGACCTTAATACCAAAAAAATAATTGAACCTTCCATAAATGCCTTAAATGATTATTATGTTCATTATAGGTAAATATATTTATTTTTATATTTGATAAACAAGCCTTTAAAAATAAATATTAACATATTATTATTATAATAAAAGTACTTTTGAATGTTCAGGATCTGATGAACTTTATGGTATAACAAAACTTACTTTCACCAATGATAAAAAAATTTTTAACAATGATAAAAACTCTCTGTGGATAAAATATGACAACTGTACACAAAACCAATCAATTTTTATGAATCTACTATTTGATTGTGCTAATAATCAACCAGGAGTAAAACCAGTAAAACCAATAGTAAATGTAGTATTTAAACCTGATGTTATATTTTCAGCACCTTGTGAAAAAACTTGTATTTCAAATAATGACGATTTGAGCTTTTTAAAATTATTAATTGATAACGAAAAACAATCCACAGGTGCTCCAAAGTAAAGTTTTTTATTTTCTTATAACGAAATCAAAAAAAAAAGGCATAAATATATTCTCTGGATTTGTTTATTAAAATAAATTTCAGTAATATACAGATCATTGATTAATATTAAGTATTAGCTGTAGTTATTTACAATGTATTAATTTTATTCAATCTTATCCTATTAATAATTTATAAATGTAATAGTAATAGTAATAGTAATATTAAATTTTGGGGTGGGGCGTTCAGATACAAAATTCTATTGCAGCAGGGTTGGTCTATTGGTGATCCATTGGGTCCATTAATGTAACATTTTAACCATATTTAGTATTTTATTAATGGCAATGGACCAGTCTAAAGCAGTCAATTTACCAACCCTGTATTTCAGTATTGTAATTGGTTAATTTGAATTTCACGCGCGAATTTAAATTTTGAAATATTAACACCTCAATATTCTTAACCTATAATATGGCGCGCCGGACAGGTCAAAAGGTTAAGTAAATGTCACAATTAATTGTGACGTTTTGTAACAATTAATTGAAGCAATGTTTTAGTAAAATTGTGTTACATCACAATTAGTAAAGCAAACGTCATAAATAATTGTGGCAATGGTCATAATTAATTGAAGCAAATGTCACAATTTAGTAAAGCAAATGTCATAATTAATTGAAACGAATACTATAATTAATTGAAACATTGTCACAATTAATTGAAACAAAATGTCACAATTAATTGAAGCAAATGTCATAATTAACTAAGACAAATGTCACAATTAATGAAGCAAACGTTATAATTAATTGAAGCAAATGTTATAATTAGTTGAAACACTGTCACATTTAATTGAAAAAAAATATTGCAATTATGGTATATTTAAATAACATTTTTTTGATGCTCAATTTTCTTTTATTCATTTTTATATAAATAATGTACTCTCGTCTAAATGAATTTTTTAATTTTGTGTATACTACTATACTACAAAGTAAAAGATCAATTGATTGAAGTGAATTTGCTCTTGAATTGTTAAATGAAAATTCATTATTTTTTTGTATATTTTTGTGAAAAGCATATGAATGCTTACAAGCAAAACAATTTTTGTCAGTAATATCCATTAAATTCCAATCATGTTTTTGACATGACCTTGCATTATTGTCATAGTCTATGTGTAAGCATTCTCCAAAAACCAATCTTCTAATATTTATAAATTCATTCAGATTTTGCATCTTGTTTTTTTTTTTGGAAAAATTTATGAACAATAAAAAAACGCGAATTGCGAATAAATTTTTTTTTTTAGATGAAGATATTTACTTTCATATAATTGTGACAATGCTTCAATTGATTATAACATTTGCTTCAATTAATTGTGACAATGTTTACTTCAATTAATTGTGACAGTGTTTCAATTAATTATAACGTTTGCTTCATTAATTGTGACATTTTGTTTCAATTAATTGTGACAATGTTTCAATTAATTATGACATTTGTTTCAATTAATTATGACATTTGCTTTGACATTTGTCACAATTGATTATGACATTTGCTTTACTAATTGTATTAATTGTTACAAAACGTCACAATTAATAGTGACATTTACTTAATCTTTTGACCTGTCCGGTGCGCCATACTATAAGCTTACTATATCACCCACTATGATTTTTATTAGATGCAATATTTTTATATGATATATTTCAATGACATTGATGATATTTGTTTTTTAATCAACAAAAATTGAGTTCTTGTATATACAAATTTTTGTAGTGCAAAATTTTTCATAAAAAAATTTAACAAAGAAAATAATTAAAACTTTAATAAATGATTCAATACATGATAAAAGAACTAAAATCCGACAGCAACAAAAAGAGAAGAGCTTTTGTATAATTCATTGAATTTAAAATACTATTTTGCAGTGTTGGGAATTGGACTGGCAATTTTGTCAATACTGCAATTTGAGTTAATTAGTATATTTGATAACTTAAAATGGTGGTAATGATGATATGGAGTTTATTTCACAGTTTGTTGCTGAAATAAACAATATAAAATAAAATCCAAATATAATGTTGCTCTGGTTAGATCAAATTTTGACAGAATCACAAGTAAACTGGAAGTATTTATCAATGATGTGATTGATTGATGAAGTAAGAAGTAATGAAAAATTATCTTTGTTTATTGGAGGTACTGGTTGAGATCACACAATTATACTAAGTAAGGAAAAAGAAAAGAAAATCATTATATATATTATTTTATTATATTACATTAACATTATAATATTAATTACTTTTCTCTCTAAAAAAAACGGATCTAGTTACGCAACTAAGTAAGGAAAAAGAAAAGAAAATCATTATATATATTATTTTATTATATTACATTAACATTATAATATTAATTACTTTTCTCTCTAAAAAAAACGGATCTAGTTACGCAACTAAGTAAGGAAAAAGAAAAGAAAATCATTATATATATTATTTTATTATATTACATTAACATTATAATATTAATTA